CTAATATTTTAATAATATTTAAAATATTTATGTTTTTTAATTTTAAGTGTATGAGTTTTTGCACTATGTTTATACCTTGTGATGATAGAAGCTTGAGAAGAGTTTTTGATTCACTGGAATAAGGTTATGAGCTGCTATGTGGATGCTGGGAATTGAACCTAGGTTCTCTGTAAGAGCATCAAGTGCTCTTAAGCATGGATGCATCTTTCTAGCCCCTTAATAGTATTCCTAAAATTATACCATGGTAGCTATGATTATGGACATTCTTTATTTTAATTAATTAATTTATTTATTAAAGATTTCTGCCTTCTCCCCTCCACTGCCTCCCATTTCTCTCCCCCTCTCCCATTCAAGTCCACCTCCCTTGTCCGCCCATAGAGCAATCAGGGTTCCCTGCCCTGTGGGATGTCCAAGGACCACCCACCTCCATCCAGGTCTAGTAAGGTGAGCATCCAAACTGCCTAGGCTCCCACAAAGCCAGTACGTACAGTAGGATCAAAAACCCATTGCCATTGTTCTTGAATTATCAGTAGCCCTCATTGTCCGCTATGTTCAGTGAGTCTGGTTTTATCCCAGGCTTTTTCAGACCCAGGCCAGCTGGCCTTGGTGAGTTCCCAATAGATCAGCCCCATTGTCTCAGTGTGTGGGTGCACCCCTCGCGGTAATTATGGACATTCTTTTTGGCTCCTATGCCAAAAATCAACCACAAGTGATCTCATACAGTCTATTCACAATATATTTTAAATACACAGTTGCACTAAAGCTCCATGATTTTTCTTGCATTTCGAATGCATCTTATATCATGCACAGGTTTTCTATATGATGCACTGGCCCTTTAAATCATTCTGGTTGACTGACTTATTCTTATTTTTCTTTAAACATTAAATAAATGAAAAAGCCTGAAGCACTTATTTTTTAAAAAAAAAAAAAGACCTGAAAGTCAACTGTAAAATTGAGGCAGCCATTAAACATGCACAATCCACAGTGTCTATGTCTAATGGGTGTCTATGTACACTAAGTAAGATAAAGTCACTCCTTAATCTGTGAGACCAATGGTGATAGAGAATAGTTAACAATAAAAATTCCATCCCAGAACAAAATCAAGATCTAATCTGGGAAACTTCCCCATCCCAAGAGGGGCTACCCATCAGGACTGTGATTGCTCTGGGCGTGTGAGGCTGATCCACCATGTTCTGGGATAGTCTATAACTGCACACCAAAGTGTAACTGCTCTCAGATTATAGGTTGCCTGCCCACAAAAAAAGTGGATGTGTAAAGCTTCAGCAGGCTTTGGTGTTGGAAGCAGATGTGCTTTTGTTCGTATGTGAACAGGTGTTTCTCCAAGTACAGACATTAGCAGAGACTGCCTGGGCTCCATCCAGACGTTTCCAGGTGTGAGTATGTAGCTGCCACACATGGTAAAGCATACTCTGTGATTATTCTGTGAACCCGCAAGGCTTCATTTGAGAACAATTTGATTAGAAAAGGAAGCTCCTCTGGGAATTTGACTGATGTCTAACTCAGTGTAACACTTTTGAAAAGGTGGTGGAGCTGTCTTTCCAAGGCCACAGTTAGAGACAATGAGAGCTATTTCATAAAAACATGAGCAGGGGAACTGGAAATAGTGGTAATGGTGTCAACAGCAAATAGAGCTAGCTTTTTGTGTATTAATAAAATAGCTTTTTATATTTGATAATGAGTATCTATGCAGCATCCTAACCTATTTCTCTCTCTTTTTTTTTAATCCAATAATTTTGAGTCCACTTGCTTTCTCTGTGTTTACTCAGTCTTAAGAAGCTAGGCCTGGTAATATCCAACAATATCACCTTTAATCTACTTATCATTCTCCATCACTAGCATGGGCACCAAAATGATGTCTTCTGTTTGCCCATGGAGATTACGACACTTCTCTGTTCCAACAGTCATCTAGAGATGAACTTCAATGGAAATTATTGGACATTTGTGATGAATGAAAAAAGATCAAATTTCATAATTAAAATACAGGTAATAATTTGAGATAATTGAGTAAATAATATCTTTCCCTTGAAATTATTTTAATAAAATGGATATAATGCTTCTTATGTATTCTCATATCAATAGAGAACACTTCATGTGTCAAACAAATAGGCAGAAAAATGCAGTGGAGAGAAAACCTTAATTAACTAAATAAATAGAGTGTTAACTCAATTAGAGTAGAAATAATCTTTTGGGAAAATTTATCAGTGGCACTTAAGACCAAATTAAGAGACAATACATCAAAATAATTTTAGAAAATGTAAGGATATAAAACTAAGAAAAAGTTACATATAATATCAATATAATATAACTCATGTCATAAAAATACACACAAAATAAATAATTAGGAGGATGTTACAAAAGGGAGAAACCAAAGAAACTTGTACAAAAATAAATCTCTAGAGTTGCTTAGAACAGGAATGACCAGTTTTTGCACCAGAAAAAATTGCATGTAACTAAGAATACAACAAGAAAATGGACGAAGAATCATGACAATACACATCAGAAGATAATCTACATGATGAATTGTATTCTAAGAACATGAGTAGACCTTACATCCATAGTAATCAGGTAAAGAAGCAGACAAAAACACATATGTAAGCCCTGGGTCTGATTGTGTGCTAGAAGGAATACACATCATCCTAAGGAAGAATCTACACTCTCTTTAAGAGACAAGGACAGAATCCTGTAGTAACCATGAAGCCAGGATACAACCACAGAAAAATGCCAAACAACCCAGGCTAAACACTGTTCCAGTTACTGGGTCTCCAGGTAGAAGGAGACTGACATTTCTCCACTGAGTAGAAGTTCCCAGTTTTCACAAGCCTGAACCAAGTTCTGGGCTTTGGAGCCACATTAAATGGTTCAAGAGTGGATGCAATTCTATTTTGATAGGGAATCTTACTTTCGAGGGAACATATCTTTTAAAATTGAACCACCATGAGGGCCTGAGAACAAGGACAACTGCAAGTCAAGGAGTTTGAATTTAACATGTCACAGCCCAGGACAAGAGATGGATTTGAGATGCAGTTGAGGAGATCAGGGAGGCCAGAAGGGTCATTCTTTGCAGATAGAGGACAAACATAATAAATTTATATGGAGGCTTAAAAGACAAAAGTAGGCAAAGCTATCCTGAATCAAAAGAATAAAGCAGGAGCTATCACCATGCCAGATTTCAAGTTACACCATGGAGATATATTAATAAAAACAGCGTGATATTGACATTTTGAAAAGACATGTAGAGGGTGCAGATAAATCCACTCAATTACAACTGAGTTAATTACAATTAACAAACACTATGAAAATATATTTTGAAGAAAATAGTGCTAGAAAAACTGGATTTCAACATGCAAAACAAATAAAACCTTATCTTCATCTCTCACACTGGACAAAAACAAACTCACATATATCACAAATCTCAATATAAGACCCAATACCCTGAAATTACTAGAGAAAAATGTAAAGAGTTGTCTTAGTTGCTGTGCTATTTATGTGAAGAGACACCATGATCAAGGCAATTCATAAAACAAAACATTTAGCTGGAGGCTTGCTTAAAATTTGAGATCATTAGTCCATAATCATTATGGCAGAAAGCAGATAGGCATGACCCTATAGCAATAGCTGCGAGTTTTACAACCTGGCCCACAGGCATCAGGAAGAGAGAGACACAATGGACTTTAAAAGACAAACTTTGGAACCTCAAAGTCAAGTCCAGTGACATATCTCCTCCAAGAATGCCACATTGCCAAATCCTTTTCAAATGGTTCCCCTAACTGGGGATCAAGAACTCAAACATATGTGCCTATGAGAGCACATTCAAACCACAACTTATAGACATATGGACCTTCTGAATAGCACTCTTGCAGCATAAGGAACGGAACAAATATTTGAGAACTGGTATCTCATCAAATTAAAAAGCTTCTGCAATGCAAAAGAAACTGTCTTGTGTGAAGTGTGTGAAGAATCAGTCTACATACGGGTATAAAATTTTCTGTTGTATGCACTTCTACAGAATTGATGTCAAGAATACACAAAGAACCCAAAAAAGTCAACATTGTCTAACATCTCAGGGTTTGCATCTGACCTACAAAGACATTCTCACTGGTGCATGAACATCATTGAAGTAACCGTAGTACTATGGACTGGATTTAAGTCCCGTTCAGCAAGAGGAAAACAATAACTTGTACTATTTCTGAACCAAAAATCTTTGATTATGTAAGATATAGGTGCCATGGGAAAACCTACTAATATTATGCTGCTAAAAGGAAATAATATCATACCAACACTCAATGACTTACTGTTATATACACAGCTCAATATATCTCTCAACCCTTATTTGAGGAGCTACTAATTGCATCAAAGGTGATTAATGCAGAGACTCACCACACCAAGGTGCAGAGAGTAAGAGAATTCAGAATGCTCAGCCATAAAGGGGATATATACTGTACCCATCTCAAAGTTGGGGGATCATTGTGTTAGAAGGAGTGGAAAGAGTATAAGAGGAAGAGTGTTGTTACAAGGAAACATCTGGACACAACAGGGCTGCTACATGAACAAACTCCCACCAGTTGTAACAGCATGCACAAAACCTGTGCAAGCCAAAACCAAACTACATCCCAGCATAGAGAGCAGAGTTGAGCAATTGCATGCCTAGCTGAACAGTGAGGCTAGTTATTAGCAGACGAGAAAGAAAGGGTCCATTTTCTCTCAGAGTGTATTCACTGTTAAGCTGACTAGTCTCTAGAAGAAAACCAGGCATCCATAAATATTTTGGACAGCACAAATTGGTCTTCAGTTGTTTATAAAATAGGTGGGTTCATAGAGAAGGGTGTGGATCTGGAAACAATTTGGGGGTATATTTTATCAAAACAGATTGAACAAAACTGGAAACTCTCAAAACTAATTTTAAGAAAAGAAAGCAAGATATTCGTCAGTATTGCTATAGGATAGGGTCATTTCAGGTTCTCTATTCCATATCACCATAGAACCTTCATCTGGTGATGGATGGAGATAGAGACAGAGACCCACACTGGAGCACTGGACTGAGCTCCCAAGGTCCCAATGAGGAGCGGATGGAGGGAGAACATGAGCAAGGATGTCAGGACCACGAGGGGTGCACCCACCGACTGAGACAGTGGGGCTGATCTATTGGGAGCTCACCAAGGCGTGCTGGACTGTGACTGAAAAAGCATGGGATAAAACCGGACTCTCTGATCATGGCGAACAATGAGGGCTGATGAGAAGCCAAGGACAATGGCACTGGGTTTTGATCCTACTTCATGTTCCGGCTTGGTGGGAGCCTAGCCAGTTTGGACGTTCACCTTCGTAGACATGGATGGAGAGGGGAAGACCTTGGACTTTTCACAGGGCAGGGAACCCTGACTGCTCTTTGGACTAGAGAGGGAGGGGGAGAGGGGGGGGGGGGGGGGGGGGGGGGGGGGGGGGGGGGGGGGGGGGGGGGGAAATGGGAGGCTGGGAGGAGGCGGAAACTTTTTTTTCCTTTTCTCAATAAAAAAATTAAAAAATTAAAAAAAAAAGGAAAAGAAAGCAAATGGCCCCAATACTGATGACGATGTGGAGAAAAGGCACATAAATTACTGGTAGGAAAACAAACTGATACAGCCACTGCATAAATCACTTTGGACATCCCTCAGAAAACTAAAAATAGAGATACCATATGGACCTGGCTATCCCAGTCCTTGTATACTGGAAGGACTCTAAGTTAACATTCCTCAGAGATTCCTTGCATACTCATGTTTATTGTTGAGCTACTGATAATAGCTAAGAAATGGAAATATCCTGGATGTCCATCAAGAGATGAATAGGTAAAGAAAATGTAGGTTTGGTGGGAGGGGTGGGGAAGGGAAAATAATGTAATTATATTAGAATCTCAAAAATAGAGAAAGGAATTTAAAATTGGGGCTTGGAGGGAGAGATTGGGGGGAGGAAAGAAAATAAGTAAATGATATAATTATATTATAATCTCCAAAATTTAAAAGTAATAAAAATCAAATGTGATATATATATACATATATATATATATATATATATGCAATTGTGTTTAATTTTTCGTCTAGAAACTGAAAACAGAATATATGTAGTAAAACTGGTAACTCTGGAACTCTGGAGAACATTATCTTAATAAAAATAAGTCCAACTTAGAAAAACAAACATTGTACATTTTCTCTAACATGTAGAATCTAGATTTGTGTGTGTGTGTGTGTGTTCCTGTGTACTGAAAATAGAAAAGGATGCATGAAACACAAGCAAGGGGTTTGAAGCGAGGTTGGAGGGGAGGAAAGAGAAGGCAATAAAATGAATGTGTCCTGAAATATAAGTGGGTGGGGGAAGGAGACCAGAAAAAGGGGAATCAAGAGGAACGATGGAAGATAGTAGAGCAGTGGCATGACTAACAGAACATAATGGATGTATGTGAGAGTGCCATATATTAAAGGTGACTGCTTTATTCAAATAATAAATAAAGATTTATAATAAAATAAAATGGCAAATGTTTTCTAATTTTATTCTCATGAAACCTTTATATGTATGAATAAAGGGCTTTTTAGTGACTCTGCTATCATTGCCTTTCCTCAGTATGGACTTTCTCTTCTTCTGCTGTGAACTTCTCTAAAGAAGAGATGTAGCATATGGATATTACCCAGATAATCCAAGAAGAATTTAAATGTTGACACAAATTTATCATTGGATACAGTCTCTCCGTGGGTCCATTTCCTCATCGGTACATCAGATGTTGATTTGCTAAGTAGAGAACTGTGCTCTCGGGCCAAAATGAAGTAGCATCATTACAATTCCACTCATACGGTAATAGCACTTTCTCTCTTAATTTGAAGGCCATAAATCTGATTTCTCACTGTATGAAGGTAAGTACTTCAGAACTGTTGCTATGTGGAATTGATACTTAGAGTCTCTGGCATAAATTATGCTACAGCCATCCTCTATCAGTAGTCTGAGAACCCAAGCATCAAGCAGATAATTCAAATAATCCCCAACTATAGACATATACATTTTATGCCTGGGGATCTTTTTCATCACAGAGTGAACAAATCCTGAAGCAATAGGAGCTGTAACAGCTGCAAATTCTGTGTGTGCCAATCGGCAGTTGTTTGGGTACTGTGCAAATTATTAGCACTTGTACTATAGTTAGAATCCAATTTTGCAAAATCCTAGCAAGCGATTTTATACTAACATGGATTTTAAAGCAGGAATAATGCTGGGAAACCATAGCGAGCCAACATTTATATCAAACGACACTTCAAGTAACAAGCATGTCGGAGAGATGGGATGTCACTTGTGACTTAGAAACTCTAACCAGGCTTTGACATTGAGAGTTAAAAGGAAGTTTCCTTCTTTTACACAGTTGGGTACATGAACATGATAAGAAAAGTCTCAAAGAGAGAATTCTTCCAGTAATAGGTGAACAAAATGCTCATTGTATGAAGTTTTAAACCTGTACAAGTTTAATCTAAGAAAGTAGTCAGCCATATTCCAGTTTCTTGAAAACTGCTATTATTATTTTCACACATTTGAAGTCATTAAGGGTGTTCTTTTTCCATTTTTGTTTGTTTGTTTTTGTTCATGCAACTTTTAGTCATTAATTTCTCGATACTTCTTGCTTTCCCTTGTTTACTTATTCTAGGCTGGCCTAGAACTTCAGATTTTTCTTCTGATCCTCCTACCACTACATCATGAATGAGTGTTTGAATTACAGGCAAGTTACCATGCCCATCCCCAGCTATTATTATTTGTCATAAAAATATATTTGGCTGCATTCTCTTATTGAACATTGCTGTTACACTACTGTTTAACTCTTCCTAGGTACTAGGGATCTGCTCTTTTATTCTGATTTCCAAAATGTGGTAAAAGTACCAACCCGATAAATGCTTACAATTCACTATTTGCTAGAAAAATAAATTATTGAATAGTGGAATATTTTTTCCTTTAGTCCTAACTGTCCTGGAACTTGCTTTGCTTTGCAGATCAGGCTGGCCTCAAATACACAGAGATCTGCCTGCCTCTGCGTCATGAGTGCTAGAATTAAAGGCATGTGCCACCATACTCAGCAAGTGATGGAGTATCTTAATTTTTAAGTTCTTGAGATATATTTTGGAACTGGTTTCCAGAAGATAATAAAACATGCTTAAAATGGTTGTGAATTTTTTTTACTTTATTTATTGTTAAATTCAATTGATTGATAGGATTGATTGAAATTTCTTTAAATCTCTGACCTGCTACAAACAAAAGGTAGTTTTTTCTGCCTACATTCACATGGTCTAATCTATGGAAGTCACATGATCATATTTGACTAGTATGAAGAATGTTCATCCAGCAATTTCAGGATAAAATAAGCACGGCTTGGAATAGACTAGGGATGTTGACACATTAGAACAGGCAACCCTTAGAATTGGGAACTGATGACTGGAATATACTCCTCCCATTTCTGAAATTCTTTATTTTTATTTTTTTAATTTATTTATTTATTAAAGATTTCTGCCTCCTCCCCGCCACCGCCTCCCATTTCCCTCCCCCAATCAAGTCCTCCTCCCTCGTCAGCCCAAAGAGCAATCAATGGAAGAATGGATGAAGAAAGTGAGGAATATATACATATTAGAGTACTACTCAGCAGTAAAAAACAATGACTTCTTGAATTTTGCATACAAATGGACAGAAATAGAAAACATTTCTAAAATTCTTATGTGTGCTGAGAAGCAGGTCCTTAGTGCTGGGGACATCATTGAGCTGAGGGAAGCCTTATATTCAACACACTTTTAGCTGTTATCAATTGAATGTGAAATAAGCCCCAAGTTTGAATAATCGAATCCCATCTGGCTATACTGTTTGGGAGATTATAGAATTTTTGGAATCTTTGGAGGTGAGACCAGCCTCTGGTTCTGGCTTGTACTCTATTTCATAACTGGAAGACATGGGAGCTCTCACCTTATGTTCCCTCTTCTGTGGTCAGAGCTGTTCCAGATGCTATTTCTTCCTCATCATGATTGGCTGGAATCCTGGAATCTGTGAGCCAAAATAAACTTTTCCTTACATTGTGTCTGGCATTTATTTGGTTACAATGACCCACACGTTTGACAGAAATCACTCAACCAACCTTATTTTTCTTATTCTATAACACTTCCATAAGAAACTCTTGAAGTTATTTTTCTGTAGTTTAGAACTTCAAATAGTTATCTATAGATATATTTGTTATTTAGAGAACATATTTATTATGTATAGGGATCTATAGCTGGAGGCTTTTCTGTGTCCTGCGTGGTCCCTCAGCCACTTATAAAATATTCACTCAGAGGCTTAATATTAGCTATAATTGTTTGGCTGATGGCTCAGGCTTATAAATAGCTAGCTCTTACATATAAGTAATAAGCTCTTACAGGGATCTGAATAAGAATGTCCTTTATGAGCACAGATATCTGAACACTTGGTTCCCCATTAGTACTGCTGTTTGTATAGGTTTATGAGGTGCAGCCTTGCCACAGGAAGTATGTCACTATGGGTGGACTTCGAGAGTAAAAACCAAATGCTTCCACCACTTCCAGCTTGCTGTCTGTATTTTGTGCTTGCAGCTCAAGTGAACTTCCAGCTTCCTGTTCCTGCAGTCAGGCCTTTGTTCACTATTATGATGGAGGAAGGTAATTGGTTAATTATAATAAACCAACTGCTTGGCCTCATAGCTTAGAACATAGGTGGGTGGAATAAACAGAATAGGATGCTGGGCGGAAGAGGAAGTGAGGTCAGACTCTGCTCTGCTCAGGACAGACCCGACAGCTCTGCTCTCTGGAGCAGAGACGCCAGGCTTTGCTCTCCCAGGCAGCTCCAACCCACGATGGACTTAGGCTAGAATCTTCCCGGTAAGCGCACCTTGGGGTGCTTACACACATTACTAGAAATGGGCTAGTCCAGGTGCGAGAGTTAGCCTAGAAGAGGCTAGATAGAAATGGGTCAAGCAGTTAAATGAATACAGTTTGTGTGTTGTTATTTCGGGCAT